AACGACGAAGTTGAAAACACGCACGCACACACAGACATATATATATATATATATATATATATGCTCATTGCGGTAGTACGATTGCACCAACTAGTACATGTGAGAAGTACAGTGCTGTACTCCATAGTAAAACATTTAATAGTCCACCATTATTTGAGACTGGTGGACCTAAGCCACAATTCTCTGACGTGAAATATTAACGTTCCAGAAGGTGGAGTGGAGTGGAATGAACTTCACCCTCTGAAGCGGTATTATTTAGAGTACAACGTCTACTGAAAACGTGGGATTCAAGAATAACTGAAATAATTAAATGAATAATTGTATTGGGTTATTCACAGGAACGGGTCCTTCTACCATGTACAGACGCTGCAGGGGCCCTGTTGCGTGCGCCCATGCAGCAGCAGAACAGAAGCAACTGCCTCGTGTTATTTTTTTTCGCATTGGCAGCCAACGACGCAAGAGGCGCTCCGCTCTGGGCCTGCTGCACGTACACCCCAGCAGACCGCCTGCCAAGCAACAAAGCAGCAGCAGGTGGAAGCCGCAACGACTAATTCTGTTCAATCACCTCCTCCCTGCCTGCAAGCCAGCTGAGAAGACCGGAGCCAGCTAACTAGCTAGCTGTCGGGCTCCACGCATGCGTGCACATGCATGCGTGCATGCATGTGCGTAAGTGCTTCAAGGCTGTTGCAGCAACAGCAGCGGCCGTCGCCAACGAAGCGCATGCGTCTTAACTTTTCTTGCTGAGTGAGGATGTTGCGGGTGGTTGTTTTTTATCCTTTCAACACTTGTCGCCCTTCTATGTGCTCACCCTTTCCGTGCACCACTCAGTCTACGCCCTCAAGACTCCCCGAGCTGCGGCGGCTGTTCTTTACTGAAAATCCTGCAACGCAGCAACCCACCAACATCCGCCAGCGCCTACTTGATTGTAAGAGTTGTGCAAGATGCAAGAAACACACGCTTATACTGCAGAAAGGAACAGCAATGACGCCCAAGAAAATAACTGTTAGCACGACTGTAAATATGACAGAAATATGACAGAAAGAAGGCAGATGAGCTTGTTATTCTTTGGTAATGATAAAAACAAGAACAGAACATTTGCACACGGGAACGCTACCACTAGTAACTCTTACGAAATACGCACAAGCAAATGCAGCACGAAAAAAGGAAGTCGTGCTGAAGGATAAAACGAACAAATAGACAACCAAAGAAAAGAGGGATAGTGGTTCGGACAACTCCACAACGAGATGCATACAGCAGTTGAAGACAAAAAAACAAAAACATACAGACTACGGATAGAGGCCGGAGACAACCAAAAGACAGACAAATGCACAACAGGAAAGCAGACAAAAACAGGCAGAGAACATGAATACAACAACCGCAGAGACAAAGCGAAACAACGGAGGGGGAAAGGCAAAGACAAAGCCGGCAACCAGCCACGGAATGAAAATAAAGACGAAGAGAGCACAGCAATATGCCCGAACGGACAAATAAAATAAAACAACACAACTTCGGATAGCCTACCCAGCAAACTTGGGTCTACAGGCCGCCCCTGCGGCTTCTTTTTGCGGGATCTTCCTTTGCCCTGAATCGCCTCCCAGCTTGCTGCTGATGCTGCATACAAAACAAGGATAACATCATGTGCACGTGTGCATGCATGCACGGTTGCCTAGATGCACAGAATCATGCGCATTTGTTTCATTCTAACGCCATCTTCTCGAGGTCTTCAACCTATCCCCTAACAAAAACTAGGTAACGCACGCATATGACGTTTTGTTTACTTCTTGGCTCATGCCTGCTAATGCTGCGAGAGAACAAAAAAGGGGGAAAGAGGCAAATTAACACACCTTGGGGCCCCCCCTTGTCGTCCTGGGGCCTCTTATTGTATTTGTCATTGGTCATTACGAAATTCTCCGCAAAAAGCCGCAAATTTTTGTGGCTGGGAAAGCTTTCCAGCAGAAACTCCTCCACCTCCAGCGGGTTCTGCGGTGTATGCACACCCCAAAGCAAATGCACCCATCACAACACCTCAGCACTGCATGCAACATGTATTATTTACGAGCTGAAACCTTCGCTTGCAATATCTATTCACCTACGTACGTAGAGCGCCAGCAACAATGCCAGAAACACGGAGAAAGGACACACATACGTAAAGAGAACGAAACAAAAACACAAAAACCCAAGCATAGCAAGCTAAAGAGCAAGCGAAACGGGATGAAAGAAAGAAGAATCAAAGGAGCCGCGAGAAGCTGCAGCTGTCTACCCACCTCCATCGTGGCTAAATACTCGAGGATTGGAACGTCTAGCGGCAATTCGCATTCTGCAAGGAGGCAATTCCACTCTGGCGGCGGAAACAAACGAAAGAAGCAAAACAAAACGCAAAACAAAACGAAACATGAAACAAAAAAGCATGGCAAGATGAGATGCAAAACAAAGGACAAAGGCAGCATTAGACGAGCAGCAAACAAAACACACAACAAGTAGAGCTATGAAGCCAACGAAACGCAAAAGAGAATGAAGCATGCAGAAAACCAAACATAAACAAACTATACGTGAGACAAACAACAGAAAACAAAGTGAGACATAAAATAAAACAGGACGGAGAAAGGGAAATGAGGCAAACAAAACAAAACAGTGTGCGAGATGGAAAAAATACACAAAAATGGGATATGAAACAAAGGTGGCAACCAACAACAACATATCTCGACGACAGCCAGGCTTCTTCCTCTTAACAGAACAATCCACTTAAAAGCACAAAACCCAAAGCAACATCTTCCAAATGTCATGCTTCTTTCTTCTGTTTTGTTCGCCCCAACTCTACAGTACCGGCTTGCTTCTGCTGTCTTTCTTGGTCTGTCTCTGTTTCTGATATGCAGGTATCTCTGTTTCTGCATCTACTCTCTGCCCCTTAAGCACTCCTCAGTTTACTATCTCTATCTATTATCACTATTATTGCTGCTATTATTATATATAATATTTATAATATATTGCTTTACACAATCCTCCCCCCGTTAACCGCCACTCACCCTGCAGCTGAGCCGCGGCCCGCTTCGGTGTCTCCTTTTCCGTTGATGTTACTGCTGCAGCTGCAGCAGCAAGAGCAAGCACAATCCTGCATAGTATATGTCTATACTCTCCCTTCCCCCCGTGAACCAGAGGCAGCAGCAAGGTAAACAGCAGCGCGAGCAACAGCGGCACCACCAGGAGCAGTAAAGACCCTTACCAGAAGGTGCTGCGGCGATGGAAGGAAACTCCGCTTCCGCCGACCGTCCTGTGCATACACAGCGCAGCCCTACCTAGCGTACATGCATGCTTGCACACATCCACGGATGCAAGCCCCGGTACGCTAAGGCCCAATCGGCACTACGCTGGAGTTATGCAGTATTATTATGCAGCTCAAAATACACCTCAAACCCACCTGCTGCAGAGGAGGCTCCAGAACTCCGTGCTGCTGCTGCCGCGTTCTTCTTCACAGGCGTCGCAAGCGCATTTCGCTGCTGCTGCTGCTGCTGCTGCAGCTGCTGCTGCTGCAGCTTTTGCTGCTGAATGGGCGTGGGCGGGGGAACAGAAGCAGCCAGGCCTTTGGGGGCCCCCTGAGACCACGCCGTTGCCCCCAGAGGCAGCGCTGCGCTCTCTTTTTTGCTGTTCACAGCAGCAGCCGCAATGAAATCTTGCAGCGATTGCGTGTTGCCCTTCACCTTCCCCTTCGTTCCGGCTCCCCCCTTGCGTGCGGCAGCAGGTGCTGCTGCTTCGGCCCCCGTAGCCGAAGACGGAGTCCTCGCAGCAGCAGCAGCTGAAACTGCTGCTGTTGCAGCTCCCGCTGCGGGTGCTGCTGCTGCTGCTCCAGCCGCTGCTGCTGCAGGAGCAGCACCAGCACCAGCAGGCGTCAATACAGGCGGAGTTGCAGCACCGCTGCCGTACGTGTTTGCTGCTCCTTCAAGCAAATCAGGGAAGTCTTCAGATGAACCAACAGAAGCCCCCAACGCCGCCGGGGTGCCCCAGCCAGAGACGCTCTGTCCGTTGCTGTCCTTCCGCTGCATTGTTGCCCAGCGCAAACGCGCAGCAGCTGCTTCCTGCTGCTGCTGTTGCTGCAGCAGCAAAAACCAAACACGAACGCACACACACGCAGCCCCAGGGAGAACGTAATAAAAATGCATACAAAGGAAACACACAGATGCTGCTGTTCCTGCCGCTGCTGCTGCTGCTACCGCGCAAAGCGAAAGGGAGGAGAAGCGTGCTGCGGCAGAGCAGCAGGTGGATAGCAGACAGCAACAGCAGATGATGCAGCAACCGGGAAGGCGGCTCTAGCCATTAGCAAAAGTAGCAGCAGCAGCACGAGCAATAAGTGCTGCGTGTCTTACAGCCTTCAAGGCAGCTTCCTCTTCCTTCCTTCTCTCTTCTTCCTCTCGTGACTGTTCGGCGCTCTGCAGCTCCATCACTTCTTTCAGCGTTACATTTGGTCTATTTGCTGCAGCAGCAGCAACAGAGACCCAGGGGGCAGGGCCCCCGAGAGCAGGGCGCCGCTGCTGCTCCCCTGAGGCGCCCTCTCCAGCCCCACGCTTTCCCTGCTGCTGCTGCTGCTGCGGCGGCTGCTGCTGAGGCTGTGACTTAGAGGCCTTCGCCTCAGGCCCCTCCTGCTGCTGCTTATCCTGCTGCTGCTGCTGCTGCTGCTGTCTTTGCTGCTCCTTCTTGCGCTGGCCTTTGTGGCCTGCTACCTCCCACCCACCCTTTGCTGCTTCTGCTGTAGAACCAGCGACAACCGCTGCTGCAGGGGCTTTCGCCTTGCTGCTACTAGCAGGGGTCTTGTCCTGGGGTGCCCTGGGCTGCTTCTCACGGGAGTGCTGCGGCTTGTCCTGTTTCTGCTGCTGCTGCTCCTGCTGCTTTGCCTGACGCTGCTGCTGCTGCTCCTGCTGCTTAGTCTGGCGCTGCTGCTGCTTCTCCTGTTGTTTCTCCTGCTGTTGCTGCTGCTGCTGCTGTCTCTTATCCTTCTCTGCTGGCTTCTGCTGCTGTTGTTTCTCCTGCTGCTGTTTCTCTGGCAGTGTCTGTTGCTTGTCTTGCTGTTGTTGCTTGTCTTGCTGCTGCTTTTCAAGCTGCTGCTGCTTCTCTTGCTGCTGTTGCTTCTCCTGCTGCTGTTGCTTCTCCTGCTGCTGTTTCTCTGGCAGCTGCTGCTTCTCCTGCTGCTGCTGCTTTTTTTGTTTCTCTTGCCGACAGGACTCCTCCATTGTGGCTGCCCATGTCTTGGGCGCAGCAGTTGCAGGTGCTTGCTGCTGCTGGTGTTGCTTTTGATCTTCATCGCTCGAAAGCAGCTGCTTTGTGTGCGGCTGCTGCTGCTGCTGCAGTTGCTCCAGCTGTCGCTGCGTCTCCGTCAGTCTATCGGCAGTCCAGCCCAGGGTGTTCTGCTGCTGCTGTAGCTGCTCCTCTGTCACCTCCGTCTGCTGCTGCGGCTTCTGCTGTTGCTGCTGCTCTCGCTGTTGCCCATGTGGGCCACCAATACCCAGGAGATTTTTAAGGGTGGAAGTCATCTGCGCCGCACGACCCACTACAAGTCCTTGCTGCTGTTGCTGGAGTTGATGCTGCTGCTCATGCTGCTGCTCCTGCTTCTGCTGCTGGTGCTGCTGCTGCTGGTGCTGCTGCTCATCTGCGGGCCCCGCTAGAGGCGGCCGGTGCATCGCGTCCGCTGTCTGTTGCTGGAGCATGAACAAGGGTTGCTGCTGTTGCTGCTGTTGCTGCTGCGGTTGTTCATGTGCGTGGAGAGCAAAATGGCCCAGATCTGCTGCAGCTGCAGCAACGCGAAGTTGCTGCTGTTGCTGCTGTTGTTGCTGTTGCTGCTGTTGCTGCTGTTGCTGATGGTGCAACGGCAGTCCCGCGCGTCGCATCCACGCCTCCCACGCCGCCGCGTCATCTGCCCCCACAGCAGCAGCAGCAGCAGCAACTGCAGTTTGTGCTGCTGCTGCTGCTGCTGATATGTCATCAGCACCACGAGATACAGCAGAAGAAGACCTTCGCTCTGCAGGCGCCCCTAGCCCAAAACTCCCCTGTTCTGTCTCAGCAACCCCAAGGGGCCCCCCGGCCCCCCCCCCCCC